TGTGAGGAGGTAGTCCAGTTTCATTCTTTTACACATGGCATTCTAGTTTTTTCAACACCATTTAGTGAAGAGACTTTCCTTGTTCCACTATATATTGTTGCTCCTTTTTTGTGGATTAGTTATCTACAAATGTGTGGCTTTATTTCTTTTCTCTAAGTTCTATTTCATCCATCTGTCTGTTTTTGTTCCAGTACCATGCTGGTTTAATTATTATGGCTTTGCATTATAGTTTGAAACCTGGAAATGTGATACCACCATTCTTTCCCTTTCTAGTCAGGAGACCATAGACTATTTGAAGTCTTTTGTGACTCCATAATTTCAGTAATATTTGAATAATACCATCGAATGGTTTTTTTGGATTACGATGAATTATAATCTACTTTGGATAGAATGACTATTTAGATAATGTTAATTCTTCCTGTCCAGGAATGGAAAATATCTTTCCATTTCTTTATGTTTTCTATTTCAACAATCAACAGTGTTTCATAGTTTTCCTTGTATAGGTTCTTCGCCTCCTTTAGAGGTTAGATTTTTCTGTGGTATTTAAACTTTTGGGGGGGTCATATTGTAAATGGGATAGCTTTCTTAATTTCTTCTTATGCTAGCTCATTGTTTGCATTTAAAAAAAGCAACTGATTTTTCTGTGTTGACTTTGTATCCTCCCTCTTTGCTGAACTTTTTTAAAGTTTTTCTCTTAAGTCTTTGGGACTCCCTATGTGTATTATCATATTATCTGCAAATAATTATAGCTTTGTTTCCCAATTTGGGTCCAAAGTGTTTCCAAATTTGGTCCAAATTGGTTCCTTTACCTTTTTCCTGCCCAATTTTCTCTAGCTGGGACTTTTAATTTTATGCAGACAATGATAAGCATGGGCATCTTTGTCTTATACCAGATCTCAGTAAAAAGTCTTTCATTTTTTCACCATTGAAAATTATTCTAGCTGTGGATTTGTTATATATGGCTTTTATTATTTTGCGTAAATTCTATTCATCCCCAGATTTTCAAGGATTTCATCATAAGTGGACCCTGAATGTTAACAAATGCTTTCTCAGTAACTATTGAAATGATCCTATGGCTTTTATTAGTCTTTTGTATTTATGTGGTGAATTACATTTATTTTCAGATGTTGAACCATCCTTGCATTTCTACTAAGACGTTTTATACACTCTTGGATTCAGGTTGCTAAGATTGCTAGGGATTTTTGCATCTGTTTTCATTATGGAAATTGGTCTATAATTTTCTTTCCTTGTGTGGTCTTTGCTTGGTTTTGGTGTATTTGTAATGTTGGCCTAATAAAGTGTGTTTGGAAGTATTCCTTCTTTTTCAATTTTTTGAAAGGTTTGAGCAGGATAGGTATTATTTATCTTTGAAGTTTGGTAGAACTTGTTTGTGGTACTTTGGTTTTTTGGGAGAGTTTTGATAACTGCTTCAATGTCCTTGATTGTGATTGTTTTGTTCAGGTTTCCTATTTCTTCCCTAGTCAGTCTTAGATGATTATACAATTCTAAAAATCTGTCCATTTCACCTAGGTTGTTGACCTTGTTTGCATATAAATGTTCATAGCAATCTTTTACTGTCCTCTGGATTTCTGCAGTGTCTGTTGTAACTTCTCCTCCTTCATTTTTTATCCTATTTATTTGAGATTTATTTGCTCTTTTTCTTAGTGAACCTAGCTAAAATCTGTCCCCTCTTTTCACTTTTTCAAGGAACAAAGTTTGGGTCTCATTGATCTTTTAGACGATCATTTTTATTTCTATTTTATTATTGCCTTATTTCTACTAACTTTTGGATTTTGTTGTTGTTATTGTTCAATTTCTAGTTCTTTGAGATCTCAGAGAGACAAGATTGTTTATTTGGGATCTTTCTTGTTAATTGTTGTGAACCTATATTGCTGTATACTTCCTACTACTTTTGCTATATTCTATATGTTCTGGAAAGTTCTGTCCTCACCATTTGTCTCAGGGTATTTCCTTATTTCTTCTTTAATTTTTCATTAACCCAGTGATCTATTAGTACTATGTTGTTTACCTTCCATGTATTAGAGTATTTACTTATTTCCTTGTTGTAATTGATTTCTTGATCTATTTGGTCAAGAAGATATTTTGTATGATTTCTCTTAAAAAAAAAAAAAAAGGTTATTTATGCACAGAAGAACTGGGATGTAGGCCACAAGGATGAGGGGTGAGAGGATTCACCAGCGGTAGAGTGGGGAGCACAACAGGCCCATCTATTGGAATACACTGCTGAGGGGAGCAGTGGGCAAGACAAGAGAGGTCAGCTGCACTGTGTAGGTTAGCTCCCTGGCCAGTAATTGAACCCATGCTGCAGTGGCTGCTGACAACAGCTTCATAGTGCTGACACTTAAACTTCTTGCACCACCAGGGAGGCCCTACTTTGTAGGATTTCAATCTTCAAGAACTGTTGATACTTGTGACCCAGTATGTGGTCAGTCCTGAAGAATGGTCTATGAACTCTTGTTTTTGGCTTTTCTTGGGTGCATTGCCCTATAAATGTTTACTGAGCCCATGTTGTCTAGTTCTTTGTTTTAGGCCAATTTTGTCCCTATTTATTTTCTGTCTCATTGATCTGTCCATTGGTATGAGTAAGGTGTTGAAGTCTCCAACCACATGTATATTTTCCTAATTTCTGCTTCCATATTTAATAGTTATTATCTGATGTATTTTGGTACTCTTTTGTTTGGTGAGTATATACTGATGAGTGCTATATCTTCCTGTTGTATTGTTACTTTAATTATTATATAATTTCTATCCCTGTCTCTTGTTACCTTTTTAAGATAGAAGTTTATTTTATTGGACACTTCCTTTGGGTGCCATTTGCTTATAGAATTGTTTCCTATCCCTATATCTTCAGTTTATCTTTATTGTGAAATGTAGATTATTTTCTGGAGGCAGTAGAAGATTGGAATCTGTTTCCTAATATCACTAGATAGTCTGTGTGTACATTTAGATTGTTGATTAATATATTAATGTCTGCTTCTGCCATTAGTTTTGTGCTTCTGTTTAATTGTTTGGTCGATTCTTCTCTTTGATTTAAATATTAAAGCTCCTTTTAATAATTTTTGGAAGGAGTGGGAATTAGTGGTTGAAAAATACCTAAGGTTCATTCCTCCCTCATATCTGAAGGAAAACTTTGCAGGTTAGAGTATTCTTGGTTGGCAGTTTTATCATGGAGTAATTTGAATATGTCAGTCCATTCTCCTCTTGAGCATAGTGTTTTTCATAGAAGTCTGATGTTAGCCTAACTGGGGTTTTTTTATAAGTTATCTGCTTGCCCAACTCTTTACTTTCATTATCTTCTCTTTGTTTTAAACTCTTATAAGTTTTACTACCATGGGGTTGGGGTTAAGTCTCAGTGCTATCATGCTATGACTGCTGCAGTCTAAATTTGATCCCAGCTAAGGGACTAGCCCACATATGGTGCAACAGACCTCTCTTGTCTCTCATCTTACTCCCCTTAGCAATGTATTTCAGTAGATCAGTCTGTTCTGTTCCCCACTCTCTGTCTCTGGTGAATCTTCTGGCCTACTATGCATAACAAATAAAAACAAATCTATGCATAAACAAATAAAAATAAATCTTTTTTTAAAAGTCTTATTATTTTATTTATTTATTTTTTTTTTACCACGGACCATTCCTGTTGGCACAGCAGATTAAAGCGCAGCACTGCAGGCTGGCAGCAGCCACTTCAGTGAGAGCTTGATCCCAGGATGAGAGGTGATCCACATGGCTCAGCAGACCTCTCCTGTCTCACCTGTTGCTCCTCTCAGCAGTGTACTTCATTGATCTGCCTGTTCTGCTCTCCATTCTGTCTTTGGTGAATCATCTTACAGCAACCTCCCCACCCCCCGGACTTTTGGCCTGTTACTCCAGTTCTGTATGCATAAACAAATAAATATATTTTTAAAAATTTTACCACCATATGTCTTGCTATAGGTCTCCTTTTGTTTAAGTGTACTGATACTCATTTTGCTTCCTATATTTATGTGTTTGACTCCGTTTTCAATTTGGGGGAGTTTTCTTCCACTATGTTTTTAAATATTTTTATAGTTCTTTCTCTTCTCTTTCTGGAATACCTATGGTCCTAATAATTCTTTTCTCATGGTATCAGATAATTCTCTGTTTCTTCATTATTCTTTCCTTTATATCTCTTGTCTCTCTCTTTTCCTAGTTTAATTCTTTCTCCTTTTGTATCTTCAGGATCACTGATTCATTCTTCCATTTGGTTTACGCTACTTTCTTGGCTTTCTCCAGCATTTTTCATCTCTTCCATGGATCTTTCTGCATACTGAAATTCCATTATTTTCTTATTTAAAGTTTCAATTTTGATTTGTTGTTCATTGATTGTGTTTTGTGTTTCTCATAGCAGTTCTTTGCTTTTTCTGAGTTTTCTTGCATATCTCTGAGCTGTTTTTAATGAGTTTTCTTTGTATTATTCCATTTCTTTGATTTTCTTGATTATGGCAATTTTGAATTTTGTATTAGAATGTACTAAAAGCTGTCTTTGTGATTGAGTTCTAGGGATTTTTTTTTTTTTTTCCCGTGTGTGTAGTTCCTCTGAATACTTGTTTGGCTGCTTGAAAATTCCCTTCTCCCATTTGTTTTCTTTTATTCTGCTCAGCTGTAGTTGGGGCTTCTGTTGTGTGTGGATCCTTTCCTGATACTGTTTGGAGCATTTACCAGGTGGTGAGCACATCTGCTAGTGTTTTATGAGTTGATACGAGGGCTACCCTTGAAATGCTTCTGGATTTTGTTTGGTGATCAGGATGCCTGGGAGGGTACTGGGTCTGAGGGCATGTCACTGGGACCTCATCCCACCCAAAAGCTGTCATTCTAGTGTGCTGGTTAGCTGGGACAGTGTTTGGTTAAGGGGTGTTACTGGGATCTCAACCCATCCTGAAGCAGCAGCTAAGGGCCTCCCAATTTTAATTTGTTCCATGCCATGAGATATTTGTGTGGTTTACTTAAAAACTCTTTTACAGGAGATGTTCCTGTGCTCACCAGTCCTGTTGAAAAACACCTGAATCAGAAAATGTTAGAATCTCCTGGAAAGACATTCTGCACAGGTACTTGTTCTGGGTGATGGGATGTCAAATGTAGTGATTTGCTGCTTTTTTTTTTAAAGATTTATTTGTGCATACATGCATACAGAATTGGGGTACAGGTCAGAGGCTCAGGGGCAGAGAGAGGCTTCACCAGAGACAAAGTGGGGAGCAGAACAGGCAGATCGACAAAGTACACTGCTGAGGGGAGCAGCGGGGGGAGGCAGGAGAGGTCTGCCACGCTATGTGGATCTCCTCCGGGGCAGGCAGGGATCGAACTCATGCGGAAGTGGCTTTAGCTTCTCAGTGTTGTGGTTTAACCCGCTGCGCCTCCAGGGAGGGCCGTGATTTGCTGCTTTTACCTTGATGACATTCAGCTATCAATATCTTCTAAATTTCATCTGTGTGACTCAGTAGGATAATACCAGGTGTAGTAATATTAACAACAGAGAGGATGATGGTATAATGATGTTATTTAAAGCATTTTATAAGTTTTCATTTGTCTTGCTTTGTGTTCCTAAAAGCTCATTACCTCTTAGTCAAATTTTTATGCCACTCAAGTTATTTTTAGAGTTGGATAAGGATACAGACTTGATTATTTTATGATAATGAATAAAATTTTGTTCAAGTTATAAAGTTTTTGTCAAAAAGATAACTTTTATCTTTATAAATGTATTAAAAATAAAATTATTTCATATGGATTTCAGCCATTTATCAGAAGTATTTGAAAGCAAAAACAATTCCTCCCAGATATAAGGTCTCATAAAAGTGAGCTTAATTAACATGAAGGGGTTATGCATTGAAATAGTGAATTATTAAAAAGTATTTTAAATGTAAAAGCTTTTTTTTTTTTAAAGATTTATTTGTGCATAGAGAACTGGGGTACAGGCCAGAGGCTCAGGGGTGGTGAGAAGCTTCACCAGAGACAGAGTGGGGATTAGAACAGGCAGATCTACGAAGTACACTGCTGAGGGGAGCAGCAGGCGGGTGAGGAGAGGTCTGCTACCCCATGTGGTCACCTCCAGGGCAGGTGGCAGGTGGGAATCGAACTCATGCAGAAGTGGCTTTAGCTTCTCAATGCTGTGCTTTAACCCACTGCGCCACCTGGGAGAGCCTGTAAAAGCTTTTTAAATTATCTTTGTATTGAGGGCACTAGTTATATGGTCTGAAAATAATAATGTGCAAAAAATTCAACTGAGTAAACTTTAAAAGCTTATTGATTTTATTCGGTGAATTGGTCAGTATTCCATCTAAGTAGAGAAGAGCTCCAAGGAGCTGTACAAAAGGAAATAAATTTATAGTGAGAAGGGAGAGGGAACACAGAAGTTTTACTGGCAAAGAGTGGATTATAATAAGGTCACTTTCTTTTAGGGATGACAGGGTCTATCAGATAGATTACCTGATTGGTATTTCCTGATTAAATTGGAGTTTGTGTTTGGCATAGACCAAAACTGTGATTAAGTTAAATCTCTTTTTGGTGGCATAAGAATTAGTATAAGTCATTCCACTTGGGGCCTATTGTCCTTTTTTTATTTTGTTTTGTTTTGTTTTGTTTTGTTTTGACTGACTGGCTCTTCTGGGGAAAAAAATATAAGTATAGTCCACTTTGTGAAGGCAATATATTCTTAAAAACATATGGATTTCTCTTCTGCTTTTTATTGTTGTTGTTTTGTTTATTTGGAAGTATGCGGATGTTTTCCAGTAATTGGTAGATAATAATAAGTTTATTGGTCTCTGCCACTAAGCATCCTACATTGCTTAGGCTGAAATCTAGCAATTTTTCCTTTTTTGTCTCCATTACCATCCCTTGTACCCTGTGATCCTTACTCCCTCCTGCCTACCTCTTAACTTCAGAAGCCTAACTTTAATTATTAATGTCATTTTTAAGTAGTTTGCTTTGTCAGATCCTCTACTGTATAAATGTCCAATATTTTTATTTGCCATACTTTCTTTACTATAAATAATACCTTCAGTTTCCTCCCTTTTTGCTTTAAATGGAAACATTTCATCTTTACATATGGCTGAATAATACTCCATTGTGTGGGTGTAGGCACATCTTCTTAATCTAATTCTACATCAGTGTGCACTTAGGTTATTTTCATGTCCTGGTTATGGTAAGTAATGCTGCAGTAAACAATGAAGAATATATAATTTTTTTGAGTAGATGATGCCACATTCTTTGGATATATATACAAGAGTAGATTTGCTGGGTTATAGGCTATTCTATTTTTTGTTTTCTAAGATAAATCCAAATTGTGTTCCAAAATTGCTGTATCAATGTATATTCTCACCAACAGTGGGGTTTCTCTTTCTCCCCATCATCTCCAGTACTTGCTGCGGATCTTTTTAATATGTGCTAATGTCATGGATATAAGATAATATCGCGTGATTTGACCTGCATCTCCCTTATGAACAGATACAATGAAACGTTTTCCCACATATCTTCTAGCTTTCTACATATTCTATTCAGATCTGCTCTCCAGTCACTAATTGCAGTTTGTTTTACTATCATTGAATATGTTTTTATACACTGAATATTAATCCCTTATTGGTTATGTAATTTTCTCTTATTCCATAGTATGTCTTTTTAATTTACTTGTATTTCCTTTCCCTGTATAAAAGCTTCCTAACCTAAAGCAGTCTCAGTTGTTTGGGCTTTTATTTCCCTTGCCTTAGGCATCAGGTCTCCAAAAACATCTTTATTGTTGATGTTATGAAACAAATTGCCAGAGGGTTTTTTTTTTTGTATATTTTATTGATGCAGATCTTATATCTAACTCTTTAATCCACTTTGAATTTATTTTTGTGCATAGAATTAAAAAATGATCCAACTTCACTGTTTTACGTAAGAATATCCAGTTTTCCCAGAACCATTTTTGCTTTTGTGTGGCCATGGCTTCTTTTAGCATGATTTAACTATTGCTATATACATGGATTTACTTCTGGGCTTTCAGTTCTGATCCATTGATCCTTGTGTCTAATGCATGAGTATGCTATCTTAATTACTATTGCTTTATAATAGTGTAGTTTAAAATCAGGTAATGTGACACCTCCACTTCTCTCCTTTTTTCTCAGGATTACTTTCACTCTTAGAGGCCTTTTATAGTTACATATATATTTTAATATTTTTTTGTTCAATTCCTTTGCAGAATGCTCTTGGCATCTGTCACATCTATATTTGTTGTTTTTTTGCTGTATAATAATCCTGTAGCACTTTTTTCATGTGCTGCATGGTATTGACAATTTCTTTTAGTTTTGCTTTTCTGTGAAGCTCCTTACCCTTCTGTCTGTAATATTAATCTTAGATATTAAAGGAATCTAGGCTGAAAATTGTTTTCTTTGAATACCTTAAATACCACTTGCTATTCCTTCTTACCTGTAAGGTTTCTACTGAAAACTCCACAATCTAATTGATATTCCTTTATACATTACTCTTTTCTCTTGCTGTTATTAGTATTCTATCCTTGTCGCTGGCTTTCAACAGATTTATTATAGTGTGACTTGAAGTGTGTTTGGTATTATTTTGTTTGGAACTCTTTTGGCCTCTTGGATTAGGACACCTGGATGGTTTTCAAAACAGATCAATTTTCAACAGTTATCTTTGAATAAAATTTTGTATGCCTTTCTCTTTTTCTTCTCCTTCTGGGGCCTCCATGCTGTATATGTTATTTCTCTTTTGGTTATCTCAAAGGGCTTTTACATCCTTTTTTCTCTCTGTTCTACTTATATGTTTTCTGACAGTGTACATTTTTTTAAAGATTTATTTATTTATTCATACAGAACTGGGGTACAGGCCAGAGATGCGGAGGGTGAGAGGATTCACCA